AATACCTCTTCGAGCCCCCCCTCCAGCTCTTGCACCTCCCGCTGAATTAGCAAATTTCCCCCCCCCCCCGTCCCGGCAAAATGGGCCCTTTTTTTCTCCCCCCCAAAAAAGTGCCTCGCCCCATCATGCACCACAAGAGACTCTTTTTACAATTTCACTCCACAGACGGCCAAACTCCTCGGTTTTCCTTTTTGGGAAATTTTCCCCCAACGAATTTCCCCACCTGGGAAAATGGTTTCTTTCCAAACCTTTTTCGGCCGGCGCCCTCTCCCTGCCTCCCCCACGTCGCCGTCATTGTCCCTATCCCCACAAACCTGCATGTCCGGCGTGGGCCCCGCATACGCACTAGAATTTGGGTCCTAAACTCCGGGATCACGAAAGGGATGACGGGGTCGGGTGCCTCAGTTCATTTTTTAGGGGGAAAAGTACCCCCCGACGTCCCAAAAATACGCCCCCTGCCGCCCACTTGCCTTGGGTTGCCAGATGCCCCGGAAACCCTACTGCAAACACCTTTTCCCTAAGTCCTCCTCGTCACCCCGAAGGGGAAAATTTCGCAATTTCAAACCCCCGTTTTTGTGGGGAGAGACCCTCTAAAAGCCCCCTTTGACATTTTGGGGTTACATCAATTTTCTTTACATGCTCAAATTTCGGCACTAACGACTCTACACAGCCGGGCGAATTTAACTTTACGAAATTTATAAGGGAACCCCCTTCGGGCCACACCCTTTAAAACCCCATCATCCTGCATCCGTACTTTCCCCGATGATTTCGGAAGTAACACTTGCGCCGTAGAGGGGGGAAAACGCCCCCCGAAGCAGCCCCAACGCCCACTGTTTTTTACCCCACGTCAGATACTCGCGCCATATTGTTGCCCATGAAGCCCTCCGGGCCAAAAAAGCAAGGGGTGCCGTGCCAAACCCCAAATCCCACCCCATCAGAAACTAATGATGAAAAATTAGAGGTAAAAAACAGAATGTTTGGGGCTGCAGATGAGCAAGGTTTCAGAGGGGGGAAAAGGGGGGGGGGTTTGGGCAAGTGTTTACCTTTTAAAATTTATGGGGAACATATTTAGAAAAAAGGAAAGGGAAATTTTTTTTGCTTTATGGATTTTTGAAAAGGCATAAAGATAGAGTTTGGGTAGGGGGCAAAGTGGCAGAAGTTGCCAAATATAAAAAAAATAGGGTAAGTTTCAAAAAGCTGTGAAGAGTTTTTATGAGGATATTTAGGCCAGGTTAGGGTGGGGTTTGAAGAGAGGGGGACTACTTTCCCCGTAAAAAATAGGTCTTAGGGCAAGATGTGTAATGTTTACCCTGGTTTTTTAATATATTTTTCAAAGGGGGGTAAAAGAATAAAAGCTTGGGGGGTTCAGGAGAGGGGTGGGATTTAAATTTGGGGAATTAAAAACAAAAAGGGAAATTGGGGCACAAAATTGCTTTTTCTGATGAAACGTGCTTAAGGAGATTCTAAAGAAAATTGGGAAAGGTTTTGGGAGAGTTTGGGAGTGGGTTAAAAAATAGAAAGTTTGAAAGTGAAAATAGAAAAAAGTAAGGGGTTTAGGGTAAACCCAAAGATTTAGATAAAGAAAAACCCGTATATCAAATTGGGGAGGAGGGGAAAGGAAAAAACAGTGAATGTTTTCAGATACTTGGGAGTTGAGTGCGGCAGATGGATTATGAAAGGGTGAGGGGTAAAAAAATAGAAAATTTATAAGATAAGAATTAAAAAAATTTTCGTTCGGATTTTTAACCCCCGGAGGGTTTGCCACCCGGGATAACCCAAGAAAGTCAGTGCGTCATCGAGGACTGTCTAACTTATTTCCATTGGGGTCCTTAATCTTGTCCCCCAGGATGCGACCCACACCAGTCGACTAACACCCAGGTACCTATTTGCTGCTAGGTGAACAGGACAACAGGTGTAAGGAAACGTGTCGAAATGTTTCCACCCACCGGGAATCGAACCCGGGCCCTCCGTGTGTGAAGCGGGAACTTTAGCCACCAGGCCACCGGTGATGAAGGAAAAACGGTGAGTGGTGCATTGAGGTATATGTGGAGACAATGTTATCTATGGAGGCAGAGAAGGGAATATATGAAAGTATAGTAGTACCAACACTCTTATATGGGTGTGAAGCTTGGGTTGTAAATGCTGCAGTAAGGAGGCAGTTGGAGGCAGTGGAGATGTCTTGTCTAAGGGCAATGTGTGGTGTAAATATTATGCAGAAAATTCGGAGTGTGGAAATTAGGAGATGTGGAGTTAATAAAAGTATTAGTCAGAGGGCTGAAGAGGGGTTGTTGAAGTGGTTTGGTCATTTAGAGGGAATGGATCAAAGTAGAATGACATGGAGAGCTTATAAATCTGTAGAGAAGGAAGGCAGGGTAGGGGTCGTCCTCGAAAAGGTTGGAAGGAAGGGGTAAGGGAGGTTTTGTGGGCGAGGGGCTTGGACTTCCAGCAGGCGTGCATGAGCATGTTTGATAGGAGTGAATGGAGACGAATGGTATATGGGACCTGACAATCTTTTGGATTGCGAGCAGGGTAATATTTAGTGAAGGGATTCAGTGAAACCGGTTATTTTTATATAACCGGACTTGAGTCCTGGAAATGGGAAGTACATTGCCTGCACTCTAAAGGAGGGGTTCGGGATATTGGCAGTTTGGAGGGATAAGTTGTGTATCTTTATACGTATATGCTTCTAAACTGTTGTGTTCTGAGTACCTCTGCAAAAACAGTGATTATGTGTGAGTGAGGTGAAGGTGTTGTATGATGATGAAAGTATTTTCTTTTCAGGTATTTTCTTTCTTTTTTGGGTCGCCCTGCCTCGGTGGGAGACGATTTAGATTTAGATTTTGCCACCGAAGTGGCTAGTTTATTGTGCACCCCATATCCATCCTGTGGACGGTAGCGCAAGAGCATGTGGATACACAAAGGGCCTAGGAACTAGACCCCAAAGGGTTAACAGGAATACATATGGATTTATATCTACATATCTATAGTTCACTTATCTGTTACAAGCAAATTTAGGAAATTTGCTTAGTATATCTGGTATCTTATTTTCATTAATAAGATATCTTGACATGTCACATAGGTTATTATACTGTCTGTCTCTGCATTCTTCAATAAGTGGACAATTAAGCACATAGTGTTCAAGAGAGTGACCATATACCCCGATCACATAATTTACATTTAGTTTGATCATCATCTGTGTGTCTCCCAAACTGCCAAAGTACTTGTAACCAAGCCTAAGCCGGCCACTACAACATCAGTCAGTCTGTTCACATTGCAAGTTGCTCCATAAACATACTTATCTACGTTCATGTTATAGTGGGGTTTTAGATCTACTCAGGCTTCTAACTGCATTCCTATAACAATCATTTTCATTATTTACTTCTCTCCTAATATTATTCCTAATGCTAGACACAGTTATACCAAAGTTATATTCTACATTCTCCTTCTGGGTACTCTTCTTGACTAACATATCAACTTTATCATGAAGGAGTAATCCAATGTGTGATGGGATGCATAGCAATCGTACATTAATTCCTTTGTCCCTAATTTTTGAGTATCTATACCTGGCTTCTCCAATGAGCAGTTGTTGGAGTCATTATATGAGTCAAGAGTCTTCAATGATGACATAGAATCAGTAATGATGATAGAGTCAAGCTCAGTGTCATAGTTGCACGTCCCGTCTGTTTTTCCAGATTTCCCATGTCTGCAGATACCAAGTGCATAGTATGTGCACAGGCTTGGTTTCCGTTTGCCTTGGGTTTCTGTGACTGTATTCCCTGTTGGTGCATGTTTCCCTGTCTTATTCCTATCCTCCCTAGCACCAACAATGGAGCTCCCACCAGTTGTTTTTGGTAATATATCCTCACTATAGCTAGTGGAGTCCTCTTGTTTGCTATTTCCTGTGGTATTTCTAGTTTGCAATATTGGTTTTAATTTTTCTTTGACTACACTTGTTTCCCCACTACGGCTCCTGTCCCCTATGAGGTCATTTTTTATGTATTCCTTCCTGCGTAAAAATTCCCGACTACCTGGACAAAATCTCCAGCTTCACCATTACTGTCTCCCAGGACAGCACCTCCAGCTTCACCATACTGTCTCCCAGGACAGCACCTCCCCGCTTCACCCTTACTGTCTCCCAGGACAGCACCTCCAGCTTCACCATTACTGTCCCCCCAGGACAGCACCTCCAGCTTCACCATTACTGTCTCCCAGGACAGCACCCCCAGCTTCACCATTACTGTCTCCCAGGACAGCACCTCCAGCTTCACCATTACTGTCTCCCAGGAACAGCACCTCCAGCTTCACCATTACTGTCTCCCAGGACAGCACTATCAGCCCCACATTTACTGACTACCAGGACATCACCTCCAGCCTTACAGTTTCTGACTACATGGCCAGTATCAAGGGCAGTACCATTCAGCCCAGACTTTTTATGTTCCCATCTGTTGTAGAAAGCTTCCAGGTTGTCTATGAAAGCAGCTTTGATGTTATCCTCTTTTAATACCCTTGTGATTTTAGTCCACAGATTTTCCTCATTTGGGCATACCCAAAAACACTTCCCTGTAGGACAATTAACTGTACAGGAACATTATGATGTAGGACAAGTAACTGTACAAGAACATTATGATGTAGGACAAGTAACTGTACAAGAACATTATGATGTAGGACAAGTAACTGTACAAGAACATTATGATGTAGGACAAGTAACTGTACAAGAACATTATGATGTAGGACAAGTAACTGTACAAGAACATTATGATGTAGGACAAGTAACTGTACAAGAACATTATGATGTAGGACAAGTAACTGTACAAGAACATTATGATGTAGGACAAGTAACTGTACAAGAACATTATGATGTAGGACAAGTAACTGTACAAGAACATTATGATGTAGGACAAGTAACTGTACAAGAACATTATGATGTAGGACAAGTGACTGTACAAGAACATTATGAGAGGTACGACAAGTAACTGTACAAGAACATTATGAGAGGTACGATGACGCTGCAGTGGTACAGACAGACGGACGGACGCGGGGAAGCTGATGTCGGTGAGTCCTTCCTTGTTGTAGAAATTCTGACCAATATTCCTCGTATTCTCATCGTGTGGTTGACCACACACTGTTAGATATGGAGTTTGATACATGCTGGTACTGAGGGACAACCTTATTATGAATTAAATGCAAATATTAAAATATAAACATAGCCCATCAAGTTGTGCTGTTTTGCTCACCTGATCTCTTGTTTTGGTCATTTTTAAAACCTGATTTTTTTTTTGCGTGTGGTCAGTGAGTGAGCGTGTGTGTGTGTTGAGTGAGGCTGGGCAGGTGGGCATGATGATGGGCGTCCGTGGGAAGGTCTCCACAGAATGGAAGAAGAGAGTCAAGTCAGAATACACGAGGCTGAGGTCACTGAAGAGGTTCAAACGTGCAGACGAGATCAAGGCCGCCTGGAATGATAACAGAACTAAACTGGCTGGTAAGATAACTTCACATAAATAACCTAACTCATAACCCAGCAGCCTGAGGAAATAACTGTGTTACTTAGGAAAGAGGTTTTGTTTGGTCATCCTAGACTAAATATATTGTACATTTTATGTGCCCAGAATGTGTCCTCGAGATTATTGTACACTTTTGTTATATACAATATTATGTACCCATAGCTAAAATAAGGACCGACTATGTACATCCATTACTATTTAATGTATACCTACCATTATCCTATTCGAGAACAGTAATGGAAGTATATCATTTCACTTGGCTGGGCTAGGACATCCTAGCTTAAATCAAGCCCACACACTGTCCAGTTAAGATTCAAAGTATATAGGTAATATGTAATTTATCTGAATTGGATTTACATACACATTGATTAGTTTATAGGCAATAAACTGTCCATGTAGTTTCAGATAAATGAAATGACAATATTTATATAATTTTCAGCTCAACTTGGAGTACACTTACTCTGCATAACTTGGGCATTATTTTATATTAAACACTACTCTATGTACCTGTGAACACTACAGAATACGTAAATATTACTTATGACATTATTATTTTGAAAATATTAGCAACAATAATAAAGTTTTTGGCACATGCAGCATATTTCAGCCATTCAAAGATTAGTGTTCAGTTATCTAACCAATCACAGTAAACATAAATGAAGATGAAGCAGATATAAATAAACACGTCCCAGTTGCACGTATTTATTTACAAGTGTCATGTTTGGCGAGAAGTGGTCAGTTTTGGGCGATTTTCCCAGGGAGAGTGGGAATGCTCCCTACAATCCCATCTGTTTTAGGTTTTCTACTAGGTTGGCTTCTATTATTGGAATAGGCTAAACCATGGCCAAGCATTCTTAGTCATGGTTTATTAGCTGAAAAATAAGGAAAAATGTCTAATTTTGGTGTATGACAATGAATGCCACATGGAGGACAGAGGAAAGGCCTGGGGACTTAATGAACAGAGGGAGGTTACTTTAGTGGTTGGAATGTTTATGGTTTCTGTTTTGGACTGTTTTTTAAATGGGGAAACTGTTGAAAATAATTTCAATTTGGGCAAATGACTGACTTCTGGGCACTGAATTAATAGGATGGTTATGGTAGTTGAAAGGGCAGTTTCTTGTGATCAGTGGATAGTATAGAAGGCAAACTAGCAAAATAATTGAGAATTGAAATAGGCCTTAAAGTTGGCAGAAGCACTTGCATTAAGTGCTTCATAACTTTCAAATCACATTTGTGAATTATATTATTAGTATAATCAAATTAAAGAAGGTTTGTTTCCAGATTTGATGGTTATGGTTAGTTGCTGGGTAAGTCGATTTTGGAAGCAATGGACAAAGACCATTGTGTACAGAATTGTCTGGTTTTGTTATGTAGTTCACTGAGTAATTGTTTTTGAAGCAGAGGGCAGAATTTGTTGTCTCCAGTATTATTCATGACTGTAGACATTAATCCTTTGACTGTTTTGGTCATATATATACGTCTTATGAGCCACCGTTTTTGACGTATATATAATCTTAAATTCTAGCGGCTTCAAATCAAGCAGGAGAAAACTGGTAGGCCCACATGTGAGAGAATGGGTCTGTGTGGTCATTGTGCACCATATAAAAAAAATCCTGCAGCACGCAGTTTATAATGAGGAAAAAAAAAACTACCGTTTTTTTAATTAAAATGCCGACTTTGTGGTCTATTTTCGTATAGTGTTAATGGTTGTATTCTCGTTTTCTTGGTCTTATTTGATAGAATGGAAAACATATTATAGAAATAGAGGTGATTTTGATCGGTTTTACTATGAAAAGAACCTTGAAATGGAGCTCAAAGTAGGGGATATGTTTGATTTTTGCCAATGTTCAAAAGTAAACAAATGATGTCATTTTCCAATAAATGTCCAAGTAGCCATTCTAATATGCAGTCGTGAATGGGTTAACATTATTTATACAGTTATTACAATATTGGAGTAGTCTGCATAACAATCTTCTATTTTTTGTTTGAATAAAAATTCAAAATAGAAAGCAAGAGTAATATCAGAGGGGCCTGGAGATGTGACTGATGAACAAAGAAAATGTTATTTTAGAGCCAGGAATGTCTGCATTGTTCATTCTGGACCATATTTTGAAATTGTCATATTTTTTAATTTTTGTGAAATTGGCCAAATTGCAAATTTCTGACCACATTATTGGGTAGTTGAAATTGGTAAATGGGCAGTTTCTTGTACTCTATTGATAGAAAAAATGGAGTTCTAAAGAAATAGTTATGAGTTTGGTCGACTGGAACAATGGAATTAGCCAAAAATAAGGCTCAAAGTGGGAGAAATAGCTGAATCGTAAATATCGCCGAGGTCGCTAGCTTTGCAAGAGCGTAATTCCATCAGTTTTCCATCAAATTTCGTTCTTTTGATGTCATTACAATCAGGAAAAGATTCTGTCATTTCGTAAGAATTTTTTTTTTTTTTTAAATTTTGCGACACCAGGAGATACCTTGGGATCTGGGGTTCCGACAGTCAAGGGGTTAAATTCATCAAGAACCTGATCATCCAGAGTGTGATGGATATGTTAACCAGTGGGCTGCTAACACTTGACAGCTGGTTGACCATGTAATCAAAAAAGTAAGTAGACTGTCCTCAGGCTGCTGGGCTTCAGGGGTAGAAGAATGTATGTGAGGTAGGGGTTTTGGTAACTATGTTAGGTATTTGTTGTGGGTTGGATAACTTGTATGTGAAATTTTTATTCTTCTCACTGCTTACATAAATATATGCAATAAGAAGTTAGGACTGTCATTTGTATAAAGTTTGGATAGTTTCATATCCATTTGATCTTTATCTTAGATAGGATATGAGTAGATAGACTAGTTGTCGTTGTAGATAGAAGACAGTATTTTATATTCATTGCATAATTTCCTAATAATATGCAACTTGTCAGAATTGCTGGAACAAGAGGATCAAACTGTAATAGGGATGGGTCCTGTGTGGGTGTGTTCAGTTGAAGCCCCACCACACCAGGCAGTCATGAGGCGTACACATGTCACCTCCTCATGCAGTGAACCACTCTCTATACCCATCAAGACCATCAATGCTGTTAACCCAATTCCGACAATGTACACCTGGGCACCCCTTCAACAGAACTTCATGGTAAGTGGCTAACATAATTTATAACTTAGAAATCAGTCCTTGGAAAAGTAAAACTCTTGAAGCTGAAATTTCATGCATGGGCTTTATTACATATTATATTTATAATTTTATAGACACTTTGTATTTTGCTTTTGACTACTGTATATCTTTTATTAGAATGGGCTTAGGATGGGCTGTATACATGTAGTAATAAAATGTTTCAGTCTGACTTATTTCCAGTCTTATCACCTAGAACCACCTTTGACCATCACTTGTGGCCAGTAAATTCTGTTTTGCTGCCTGTTATCCTTTTAACTGTGTAATGTAAATAAATGTCCTGATTCCTAAAGGTTAACAACCTGCCTAGTTTAGGGGCATTTAAAATATTAAACCACATAAACCAACCGAGGGCCTAGCTTGTTCCTTCACATAAATTATGAAGCATTAATTAAAAGGTCACTACAGTGGACCCTCGGTTATTAGCCGTAATCTGTTCCAGAAGGTAGGCCTAAAACCGAAAAGGCCAAAAACTGAAATAACATTTCCCATAAGAATTAATGTATATCCAATTAATCTGTTTCAGACATCCAAAAAATATTAGCAAAAAATACATTTTTTAAAAGATTAATTATAGTTTTACATACACAAAATAATGAGTACATTCATAACTTAACTTAAAATATTTGTAGTCTTAACCCTTAATCTGTCCATACATACGTGTACTGTACCTACATCTACTGCTGCCTACAGTGACTCCCTACAAATAAATACTACTCACCTCTCACCCTACATTAACCCTTAAACTGTCCAAACGTAGATCTATGTTGACGCGTGTAGCGCTCCGACCTTGATTTTCTCCGTTTGTAAGCATGCAAAATTGGACGTAGATCTACGTTCGGAGCACTACACACGTCAACATAGATCTACGTTTGGACAGTTTAAGGGTTAATGTAGGGTGAGAGGTGAGTAGTATTTATTTGTAGGGAGTCACTGTAGGCAGCAGTAGATGTAGGTACAGTACACATATGTAGCCCCCCCCCCTGGGCTACACTACACAGCCACATTATTACCATGTTCATTGAGTTTAATCGTTTCTAACAACTACCTTTAGATGCCATCATAAACAAAGGGGGAAGTGATGAATAATTCATGCCGAGAATTGTAAACAAACTCATATGAAGGGCAGTTACTGGGCGAGACACCAGATTCACAGTTTTCTCAAATGCTGAATCAGAGAAAACGTAAGGTTTACTCTTCACTCGACTCTCCCTTCGATAGCATATAAACATTGCATGTTTATATGTTATGTAACATGTTTTTATATAATTTTGAAGAAAATATATATGGATTAATGAATATGTCTATATTAACCTAAAATAAGACATTTAATGTGCTCAAGAGTGATTATTATTAAACATACATTGCATATAAACATTGCTACACTCCCTGCATGCCTGCTACACTTCTTTCCTCAATGCCTGCCTACTACACTCCTTGCCTCTATGCCTGCCTGCTACACTCCTTGCCTCTATGCCTGCCTGCTACACTCCTTGCCTCTATGCCTGCCTGCTACACTCCTTGCCTCTATGCCTGCCTGCTACACTCCCTGCCTTCCTGCTACACTCCCTGCCTTCCTGCTACACTCCCTGCATGCCTGCTACACTCCTTATCTCTATGCCTGCCTGCCTTGAATTCTATCATGTTTCTCACTTTCTTTACTAAAGGAACTTTCTTTGGGGCCATGGCTATTTATTTTGCAGTTGCACTTGAATAATAACCAAAAACAATGGATTATATCAAAATGTTTGGATGAATGAGCAGAAGCTTCCTCGCTCGCCCAGAGACACAGCCACACTGACTCAGGAACACGTGAGCAGCTGGTGGTGGAATCACCCAATACGGCCGCTAAACGAAATAACGGTAGATAACCGGAAGCCAAGATAACAGCCGATAACCGAGTCGGCCGATAAGCAGAATGGCCAATAACCAAGGGTCCACTGTACTTACTTTTATTATAAGGAAGGGCACAAAAACTCGCCTATACAAAAATATGTAGCATATATATTAATAGTACATTTACATATTCAGTGGAACCCCAGTTTTCATCCAGTCTGGTTATCGTACAATTCAGTTTTCGACCACTTTTTTGGCGAAATTTTCCCCGTTCTCGTACATCCGCTCAGAAATCGTCCATACCAGACGCATCCGCCTGCCTGCGGGATGCAGCTGTAGATACATTTGTGACTCGGTCTGCCTTTGTTACTCGTTCAGTGAGCATTACTCCGCATGTTCATCCAAAACATTTTGTAATAATCCATTTTTTTGTGCTTGCGACCGCTAAATAAGCCACCATGGACCAGCAGGTCACTTCAAACTTCAAAAAACTCTTCACCAAAGTTGCTTTGAAGTGACCTTGGACACTGAATTGACCCTAAGAGAGTTCTGGAGGAATCACTTCAATATCCGAAACTGCATAAACCTTATAGATAAGGCTTGGCAGGGAGTGACTTCCAGGACAATTAACTCTTCCTGGAGAAAATTGTGGCCAGAATGTTTCTTCGAGAGGGATTTTGAAGGGTTTGAGGCTGACCCTGACAACCCTACACCTGTTATGGAATCTATTGTGTCTTTGGGGAAGTCCGTGTGGTTGGCAGTGAGTGGCAAGGATGTGGAAGAGTTGGTGGACGACCACAGGGAAGCACTAACCACTGAAAAGCTGCAAGACCTTCATCTGGAACAGCAAAAGACCTTAGCTGAGGAAATTGCTTCAGAGGAGGAGGAAGAGAGAGGGGAGAATGTGCCTACTTCAGCCATTAAGGACATTTGTGCAAAGTGGAGCGAGGTCAAAGTTTTGTGGAGAAATATCAGCCTAACAAAATTGTTGCAAGCCGTGTTAGCAACATGTTCATTGACAGTGCCATGCCCCATTGTAGGCACATCTTAAAGTGATGCCAGAAACAGGCCTCTGGACAGATTTTTTGTGCAACAGGGGTTCAGTGACTCAAGCTGGTCCTAGTGCCAGTAAAAGACAAAGAAAGGAAGTAACCCCACATAGGGCTTTGATACCTTAAGTCCTTATGGAGGGGGATTCCCCTTCCAAACAATGACCTTTTCTCCCTCTCCCCTCCTCGCCGTCTTCCATATGGCAACGAGAGTCTTCAATAAAGGTAAAAGTGATGTTAAATGTTCATTTATCCATTTTGTTAGTCATTTATATTTATTTCCCATTGTTTTCTGTATGTAAAACTATAGTCATTCTCTATAAAATTTGTTTTGTTAATATTTGTGGCTGTCTGGAATGGATTAATTGGATTTACATTATTTCTTACGGGAAATATTACTTAAGTTTTTATACAAATCGGTTTTTGGCCTACTTTCTAAGAAGAACGGATTAAAGACAAAAACTGGGGTTCCACTGTACCATATACAACCTACCCACTACATACAAAAATAACCAAACACCAGTACACCTTTACCAAATACACATTTTAGGCCACCTTCAAAATATTACTCGCTAGGACACTGCTATTTGTAGTTTAAATGTATACAAAGAGTGGGGCTATGACATATTCCCTTCTGCTGGCCTCTAAGCCTGCAGGCAAAACACTCCATGAGTACTCTCCACTATACAGGCCCCTGCACACTAGGGCCATATAGGTAAGCACGAGAGCACCAAAACCAATTAAATAACCTATGGCCTAAACTACCCAAAATCACCATCCCTGCTCACACAAACACCAAACCATGACGTCTTTCTCTAGCTGCTGCAGTTCTTGTACTCATTCAAAAACACACCTCACCTGCTCCTGTCCTGTCCTGGCTGCTCTTTCAGTATTAATACGTGTCCGATTTCAGAATTAATCCTGTAAACTGACATATATGGAGTTTTTTTTTATACACATTTTCAACAATGCCCTGCGTAATAGTGCCCACCATCACTTGTGGCCAGTATTCTATTTTGGTGCCACTTTAATATCCCGAAATGAGATGGGGGTGATGAAAATATTAAAATACGGAGCAATACTGTGCGGGTAGGTGTTAACAGGAGGGAATCTGGTAGTTTTTACCATCACCACCACCTACCAACTCGATCACCTGACACAATCATCTATGACCATCATCACCACCTAACGAATAAGTGGGAAACAACCCAGCTTTATGTTGAGGGAAATTTTCTGAGTGGAAACTACCTGATTTCAAGTTTTTGAAAACTCTGTGGTGCATTAATTCACGCAAAACAATATATTAATAGTTTTTAATATGAATGTAAGTAGCATTATATTCAAAACATGCTACATAATTGCACACTGTGGGAGGTTCACACGTATGCATAATTTTTGATGAGTTAAAACATACTGTGTGCTGCCATTTTAGGCCTCAGCTCAACATGTCTAGGGGGAAAAGATGTAGGCCCATGTGGAACCATGCAGTGCATCATGGTTAAAATCACCTGAGTGCATTACTGCAAAGCAGCAAGCTGAAGCAATCCTTTGCTGCCTTGAATCCCAGTACACTTTTTCTCTTGCTGACTAATGTAAGTTGTGGTTGACTTCTTTCAACATATACTTGTCTCATCAGCATTAAACACTTGCTGTGGCTCATAGGCACCCTCAGTAATAATATCCTGCAATTCAGCAGGGAAATTATCTACTGCTGTGTGATCAACTGAAACACTTTCAACAGGGAACTTAATATTATGAAATTATTATGTAACTTGAACTTGTGGAACCAACCTGTGCTAAACACACTCTTGTTCAGGCTTTCCTCATCACACAATTTTTTAGTACTTTAAGGCTTTTTTTCTTACAGTGAAATTAAGTGGTACACCTTTGTTTTTTGTTTAGTCCATTCAATCAATAAATTTTCTGTCTTATTTAGTTGTTGTGACCTACGTATCATTCTTTTCAGGAGGTGACAACCTGGGATGTTCATTGGTTATTCATTTGTCTCATTTCTTCTGATTGAACATATTGATGCTTCATTAAGGCCATAATCTCTTGCCGTGTCCACCAAACGTGCAC